AGGCCCGGGGGGTGGGGACCGCTGCCCTACAACACAGCCAAGATTCAGGCTCCAATTTAGAGTCTCAATCCACTGCGTATAAAGCACACCTCTCCACTATCATGAGCAAGACCAAAGAGCTGTCGAAAGATGTCAGGGACAAGATTGTAGAGGCCGGGCTGGGCGACAAGACCATCAGCAAGAAGCTTTCGGAGAAGGTGACAACAGTATCACTACCCCACTCTTCCACAAGTGGGGTCAAAAATGACCCCAAGCAGTTCCTATGGAATCTTCTATGAAACTTTCATTCTTAGCAACTCTGACTGTCCCACTTACACTTCTGATGGATCAAGAATTAATTTTTACACAGTAACATACATGACTTATAGTCAGGGCTGCACATAAGTGGTCCGCAGGTGCGCATTGGCTGTCAAAATAAAAGTATTCCCGGAAATTCAGAGAATACGTGTCTCTTTTGTGGTGGAGGAACACCAAAGTAATTGCTTACGGAGCTTGCTTCTTCAACATCTTTAAGAGTTCTGAACAAATGTCTGTCCTCCTCCAGAACATCTAATGTACACAAACGAGCGTCCCAACTTCTTATCTGGTATGCGTCTTTTATTTTGACAGCAAATGTGCACCTGCGGACCATTTATGTGCAGCCCTGTTTATAGTTTCCTGTGCATTTCAAACATTGTCCTTTCTGATTTTTTATTTTAATATTTAAAGTAACATGGCTTCTATGAGGCCAGCTGTGGACCTTGCCCTACAAATGATCCAGGACGGATGGGATGAAGAGCCAATCGGAGGCACTGACATCTCAGATATAGAGGACCCAGACTATTGCCCCCCCCCCACACACACTGAACAAGGCCAGTCAGATACAGAGGAGTCCTCTGAAGAGGAAATAAATATTTAGTCTAACAGAATGAGCCCATCTTACTGCTCTAGCCACAATATTCTGAATTAGTCGGCCAGGGCTTGCACCTGGGTCTAGTACTGTCTCCCCAATAGATGCATGGAAGATGTTCATGTCTGATAATATAATAGAAGAGGTGCTGACATGTACAAACATGGAGGCACAAAGAGTAGCCACAGACAGGGGAAAAGAGTGGAAAAATGTAATCAAACAAAAGCTCCTGGCCTTCATTTGATTGATCATTCTTGCAGAAAGTGAGAAGAACTGGGATGTACCAGTCGGTGTGTTTTTTGGGAGTCCTCTGCATAACCCATTGTTCAAGGCCACTATGTCAATTCAAATATTTAAAGATATTCGCAGTTTCTTGCACTTTGATGACAAGAGGACCAGAGCCTATGGACTGAAAACAAACCACGTGGCAGCTTTCCGCTACATATGGGGCCTGTGCATGCTCAGTGATTGTGTTACAGTGGATGAACAAATTGTGCCTTTCAGAGGGAAGACCCAGCTTCTGCAGTATATGCAGAGCAAGCATACAAAAGTGATACAAGTGATATAAAAACTGCATTTTCGTAAAATTAATGAAAAATAAATAAAAATGCAAAGGGCCTCATGTCACAATCATGTTTTATGAGGAATACCTCAAATATGAAAATATTACAACTCTTTGTTTTAAAGATTTTGAAGAATAACAACTGAGTTTATAGCAAAATGCATTGTTTCTATTTGGGGTCATTTTTGACTCGTGCATCCAAGGGTTAAAACTTTTACATAATCCATTCTGGGCCATAGAATGAAGCTACCATTCAAATTAGAGACTGTTCGCTTCTTTGTAAGTCAGCAAACTTACAAATTAAAACAGGAGTTTAAATAAATATTTCCCCCCAATATATGCAGCCATGTGAAAAAAACAGAACTCCGCGAAGTGCTGTGAAAATCTAAGCAAACCCTAACACTCTGTTTTCGTTGCAGTATTAAGTAGCAGCCAGGTGCTGCTAATCAAATGCGCCTGATTAACTGATCATCAATAAGTGTGATGATCTCTATAAAAGCTAAAGATTTTGCAGTTTGCTGGTGTGAAGAACTTAAGGGTTGACGCAATGCTACAATCTTCCCAGGTATTTATGTCCTTGCAAATTCACTCCATGCTCACTACATCTCAAACTTAAATGTTCTCAGCTTTTTCTTTCGATTGTGGTATTATGTGTTGCCTTTAGGGATTCTTTTTAACCTACTTTACTTTGTTAGATTCGGTTCAAGTGACAGTAATCAGTCTTAGGTGCAGCTAGTGAAAAAATGTGGTTAGTCACATTTAATTCATGAGTTAACAAATGACTTTTATCACACAGAGCCAGGTAGGCTTGAATAATGTTCTTACCTTAATAAATGAAACTGCCATTTAAAAACTGCAGAGTGTATTTGCATGAGTTATCTGTCAAATAATACCTGTGTGTGTCTGTGTGTGTGTGTGTGTGTTTACCCTCTCTGCTGCATCCTGGGCCCATGCAGGGCTGGAAATCTTGAGTGTGGGGACACGGCACGCTGAGATCCAGCTGGGCCTTCAGCATCCTTTGTCTCATCCGGCGACCTTTTTCACATGTAGAGCTGCTACAAGCTGACCAGGGAGACCATCCTGAGTAGATGCACGTCTCAGGCGTGTCATCTACGAGAGAAAAATCGGGATGACTGGGAGAAGAATAATTTCATTTTTTTTCAGCAGATAAATTTGCTTTTGCAAAACTTAATTTTCCTTTTCACTCCAGCAAAGTTGCTGAAGTCATTTCTCACATGCAGTGGGAGGGGTGAGGGATGAGGGACTGCACTGACATTGATTGTATAAAAACTGCATCCAAAGGTGATTACCACAGGTAGTCGACCGCAAGAGGCCACAAAGTGACATCTGAGGGGGAGAGAAAGGAGCTGAAGGGAGAAGCTGGAGAGGAGTGTGATTTGTGAATGTCCTGTCCAATTATCAGTGATAGCAGAGCTATAAGAAGTAGCAGGGGTACTGGCTTCAATTAATAATGCTCCCTCGGGGCTTCAGAAAGGCAGAGAAAATGAGACGAGAGGCGAGAGAGAATGTACTGCCAGGCCACAGAGACAAACGTGAGTGGGTCCAATTCTCTGGGATAAAGTGTAATGACAGGAGAATGAGGGAAGAAAGGAGCTGCCGACACTAAGCGGAAGGTAAGAGGAGCGTTGAGCTGATGTGTAAGCGAAAGCGTCAAAGCTTCAGGCGGACCCGGGGGATCAGCCCAAATAGATACTCGCCTCTGTAGTGTCATCTCATGCAGAGATAAGGGAGAAAGCGAGGACAGGTAGCGGAACAGAGGAGGGGAAAGAAGCAAATGGCTCATGACTGACTGAGGAAGACATTCATTAGGTGGCAGGAGATCCTTGTTAAGAATTCTGCTGTGTGGGCAAAAACCTTCCCTCTTCTCAAAGCCACTTCTAGTAGAAATAGGCTAAAACATCTACGTGCAGCATAAACAATGTCATACGACAACCCATATATGGGCTAAAAACCGTTAAAAAACACAGGATTTAAAAAACAGGTTACAGCAGGCAGTAACCTCTGGATCTTAAAAACTGCTT